TGGGATTTGGGATCCCTGGGATTTGGGATCTCTGGCATGCAGGATCTCCAGGATTTAGGATCTCTGAAATGTGGGATGTGTGGGATTTTGGCTCTCTGGGATTTGGCATGTCTGGGATTTGGGATCTCTGGGATTTGGGATCTCTGGGATCTCTGGGATTTTGGCTCTCTGGGATTTGGGATCTCTGGGATGTGGGTGTGACGAAGGAAGACAAACAAAGCCAAAGAATCCCCCAAAACCCCAAATCTCTGCTCCTTCCCAGCAGAATTCCATGAGGGACGAGCTGGATGTAAAACCTTCCCAGGGAACACCCCCAAAAAACCAAACCTGGGATTTCAGTGGGGAAATGTGGAAAATCCCTCCCTGCCCTGAGGCAAAATTCATGGCAATTGTTGTCACATCCCTCTGGGACAGCAGGAATGGCCTGGCCATGGATTGGGGATTAAATCTGGAATTAAATCTGGATTTTAAATCTGGATTTTGGGGCCCTTCCCACCCAAACCAGCCTGGAATTCTCTGATCCTCCCTCCACTGAAAGGAAATTTATTTTATCAACAATTGCCCCTTCAACTTTTAAAAAGCTCATTTATTTTATCCTTGATTTAATTATTTTTCCTATTTTTTTCATGATTTTAATTTTTCCTGATTTTTCCCTGATTTTATTTTTTCCCAATTTTCCCCATGATTTTAATTTTTTCCTGATTTTTCCCTCAATTTTATTTTTCCCTGATTTCATTTGTCCCTGATTTTTTCCTGTTTTTTTTTCCTCAATTTTATTTTTTTCTGATTTTTTCCCAGATTTTTTTCCTGATTTTTTCCTGATTTTATTTTTCCCAGTTTTTCCCGATTTTAACTTTTTCCCAATTTTTTTTTCTGATTTTACTTTTTCTGACTTTATTTTTTCCCGATTTTCCTTTTTTTTTCTGCTTTTCCCCCCCTATTTTATTTTTTCCAATTTTTTTCCCTGATTTCATTTTTTTCTGATTTTTCCCCTGATTTTTTCCCCCTGATTAATTACGATAAAAAACGTATCCAATTCTCCAATAATAAAACAATCCAATTTTCCAGCATTTTCCCTCCTTTTGGAAATGTTCCAGCTGAGAATTAACATATAAAATTAACAAAATAAATTCACAAATAAAATTAACAAAATAAAACACCCACACCCCAAAGGTTCATAGAAATCCCACTTTTAATCATGGACAAACTGACTTTCAAGTAAAATCAATAGTTTTAAATAAAATATAAATTACCAGAGGAGCTGGAAAGAGCCTGTGCACGTTCTCCTCTGCTTTTCCAGTTCTCTTCACATTCCTGGAGTTTCTGGGACGTCTCTCCACCATTATGGAACAGAAATTTGGGATTAAAAGCAGCGACTGGTGCCACTGGGAGGGTGAAAGAGGAGGAAGGAAATTCTTCTCCCTTTTCCAAGGAAAAAAAGGAGGGAGCAGAAGTGATGGAAGCAGTTTTTTATGGAAGCACAGCNATTTTAGGGCCACGTGGACATTTTCAGGGATCCAGTGAGAAATGGGAATTCCTGCAATGGGTGATTGAGGAGACAGATCCCAGTGGTTGAGAACCCCAAAATTCTGGAGAAATGGATCCATATCTCCCCCGAAAATTATTTCTGTGTTTAAAGCTCCCTAAAAGCTTTTCCCTGCAGAGATGATCCTGGAGATCCCAAAACCTGCAGGAATTTTAGGGCCTTGTGGCCGTTTTCAGGGATCCAGTGGGAAATTCCTGCAATGGATGATTGAAGAGCCAGATCCCAGTGGTAGAGAACCCCAAAATTCTGGAGAAATGAATCCATATCTCCCCACAAAAAGCTATTTCTGTGTTTAAAGCTTTTCCCTGCTGAGATGATCCTGGAGATCCCAAAAACCTGCAGGGATTTTAGGGCCTTGTGGCCGTTTTCAGGGATCCAGTGGGAAATTCCTGCAATGGGTGATTGAACATCCGAGTGGTTGAGAAACCCCAAAATTGTGGAGAAACGAATCCATATCTCCCCCTCAAAAATTATTTCTGTAATTATTTCTGTATTTAAAGCTCCCTGAAAGCTTTTCCCTGCAGAGATGATCCTGGAGATCCCAAAAACCTGCAGGAATTTTAGGGCCACGTGGCCGTTTTCAGGGATCCAGTGAGAAATGGGAATTCCTGCAATGGGTGACTGAAGAGCCAGATCCCAATGGCTCAGAACCCCCAAATTGTGGAGATATGGATCCATATCTCCCCCCAAAATTATTTCTGTGTTTAAAGCTCCCTAAAACCTTTTCCCTGCAAAAATGATCCTGGAGAGCCCCAAAACCTGCAGGAATTTTAGGGCTTGTGGACATTTTCAGGGATCCAGTGGGAAATTCCTGCAATGGGTGATTGAACATCCCAGTGGTTGAGAAACCCCAAAATTCTGGAGAAATGAATCAATATCTCCCCACAAAAAGCTATTTCTGTGTTTAAAGCTTTTCCCTGCTGAGATGATCCTGGAGATCCCAAAAACCTGCAGGAATTTTTGGGTCTTGTGGCCATTTTCAGGGATCCAGTGGGAAATTCCTGCAATGGATGATTGAGGAGCCAGATCCCAGTGGTTGAGAACCCCCAAATTGTGGAAAAATGAATCCATATCTCCCCCCAAATTATTTCTGTATTTAAAGCTCCCTAAAAGCTTTTCCCTGCAGAGATGATCCTGGAGATCCCAAAAACCTGCAGGGATTTTAGGGCCTTGTGGCTTTTTTCAGGGATCCAGTGGGAAGTTCTCCCAGTGGTTGAGAACCCCAAAATTCTGGAGAAATGAATCCATATCTCCCCCCCAAAAGCTATTTCCATTTTTAATCCCTGTGGGAATTTCTCCAGCTTGGAATCATGGAATGGTTTGGGTGGGAAAGGACATAAAATCATCTCATTGCACCCTTCCACTATCCCAGGTCCTTCCAACTTGGCCACATTATCCAAACCCCTGGGAGGATTCAAAGCCAAGGTGGGAAAAACCCAAATTCCAGAGAAATCCTCCCAGGAGGAGCTGGGGCTTGGGGATGGCTCCAGGCAAACCATTCCCAGCAAACCTTCCTTTATTTCCCCCCTTCCTTTTTGAATGAATTAATTCCTTTATTTCCACATTTTCAGGAAAAGGCTGGATGAGCGTTGAGGTCTCCCATGGATTTTCTGGAAGAAGGAAAATCCCAGCACAAGGCACTGAACCTCCTTGCCTGCCTGGGATTCCGCAGGGATGAGCAGGAGGGAAGGAATCGGGTGCTGGAAGGTGAATTCCCCAAGGAAGCTCCTGACAAAACACAGGAGGCACAAAGGATCCCCCACACCCATCCCCTGATGGATTCCCACCACAGATGAGGATGGAACAGGGAAAATGAAGATTTCCCCCCAAAAACCACGAAGAGAGGGAATTTCTAGCAAGGAATAGGAGGAAAATGCAGCTGGAGGCGCTGGGAAGGCAGAGCCAGCGAATCCCAGGAAAATCTGGGAATGAGGATCGGGGGTTCTGCCCCTTCCTGCGGGATCCCAGCCCAGGAATTGCGGGCAGAGGGAGAAGGGCCCTGCCCGAAGGGAGACAGGAATGGGATCCAGGGGTGGGACCTGGGAGCAGGAGCTGGGAATGGGATCTGAGGGTGGGACCAAGGAATGGGATCCGGGGGATGGGATCCAGGGGTGGGAGCCTGGGGTGGAATCTGGGAATGGGATCGAGGAGGGGACCTGGGAGTGGGATCCAGGGAGTGGGATCTGGGAGTGGGACCCGGGGGTGGGATCCAGGGATGGGATCCAGGGATCAGATCCAGGGATGGGATCCAGGGATGGGATCCAGGGATGGGATCCAGGAACAGGATCCAGGGATGTCACCTCAGGACCCCCCAGTCCCTCAGGCCTCGGGAAAGGCTGAGCCAAGGAAAAGGGAGAAGAGGCAGGAGCTGAACGGGGTCAGGCTGGGGAAGGGGAGG